CTTGGCCCAATATATATTCTTCGGTCTTGCACGCCACTTTGAAGAACAAGACTTGGTGTCTCTCTTTTCTCCCCCCTGCGCGCTCTCTCTCGCCTCATCACCTCCACATTTTACCATTTTCTTTAATGCATATATCTTGATGATATTTCTCCCCTTTGTGGTGGTCTAAGTGACAAAAGGCTTAGCAACCATAGGTGAAACCTTTGTGGTGTTCTTGGGTCGTTTGCTTTGGTATTGATTCAGATTTTGATAAACTGAGTCTGTAAATCGTCTTGGTGGTTGATGATTTCTCTCCCTTACAAGTTAATTTAATTTATAAGATCTGCTATTTCTATCTTCGAAGAGCCATCAACCAAACCTTTAATCAACCGGGGGGGGGGGGGGGGGGGGGGGGGGAGGGAGAAAAAACTTAACTAGTCTAACCACAAAATTTCATTTTGAACTTCGTATGCTATCATTGTGATAATAGTTGACAGATGTTCAATACTCAAACAACTTGGTCTATAATGTGTATACGTTTCTTTCTGGTAATGTGTATTTCTAAAATTAGTCTCATAATGGATTTATATATGTATATTTGCCCTAGCCAATAGATTTGTACACATAATTGTGAAGCAGGGACAAATCCAATATCCAACGAGCAAGTATGGCCGCTTGTGTTGGCTCTACGTGAAAAAGTTAGTATGCATATTGGGTGGTCACTCGTCTGAATCTGCCCTAACTCACTCAAATTCCTGAATTTGCCCCTGTTGTGAAGTATTTAAGTTCATTTAAGGCACTCTTCAGACTTCACAATATTTGAAATGCGTAAATTAAGATTATATACCTTTTAACATTACTCACATTCATGTGGAAAAAATATCAATACCAATCTAATCGTATAAACACTTGAACCCGTATGCTCGATTTACTAAATGTACTACATCACACATCTACATTTGAACTGACGATCAATTGAAACTCTCAAGATAGTCACATAATTAATTATTTTCCTTTTTCGTGAACGGTGAGTTGTCACTTAAGAGAATCTTATGCATATTGAATTATTTATTCTTTCTATTCTTTCTTTATTTTTGTTTTAATTGATTAAATACATTGACTGGTGAGCACAATTTCGGCATGTACTGTGTAAATTTATTTTGTTTTGTTCTACGATTGGGCCTCGGAGTTCACAAACTTCATCTCGAAGACCCTTGCAACTTGACCAAGTAGATTTTAAACAAACATTTTGCTGCAATAATTGATTACATTATCTATATTTCATCCTGAATTAATATAAAATCGAAGTTTAATTACAGAGTTTTCCTCAATTATCCAATCAGAATCAAGAAAAGAAGAATTAACAAATTATTTGTTTCCTCTTATTAGAATCTTGTCAATGTCGAATAGTCCCATAAAACACTTAACTATGCAGTGGTGGTGGTGGACCATTCATACTAAATTAATTGATTTTCATACAAAAGGATGACCATCCCATTAATAATATTTCTAGAAAGTGGTGACCTTTCGTATTAAGATAATCATTTTTATAGTAAATGATGACCATCGAATTTAAAGTAATGTATTTTAGTAGAAAATGATGACCGTTCATATTAATATCTGTTTAAAGTAGATTTTTTAGAGAGAACTCGGTCCCTATTTTATAAAGATCATTTCTTTTTCTTTTCAAACTCATTTTCAATCATACATTTTATGAGACCCCAAAATTTTTATCAAAATTTTCAACCTTTACAAATTTCATTAAGTTTTATCAAAAACTACTAAAAAGATTTTATGCTTAATCAAACGGGCTTTATGAAAAAGATAGTTTTTTTTCGGAAAACTTGTGGTTACAAAGTAGAGAACATTATCAATCCACTTATAAAAATATTTTATTAGGAGAATGTATGATTGAAAAAGAATTTGGAGGAAAAATGAATATTGAAGAATTTGTTTTGTGGAAGTAACCCATCTTCTGAAAGAGATTATGTTCAAGAAAGGACAAATGTATCATAGTTACATGAGACTATCAATTGTATATGGGTTTTAAGGGTATCGTAGCATAATTGTCAAGTTGAATTCGAGAAAAGATTGAATGGAACAATACATAGACTAAATAGGGGCCAAGGCAATTTTAATAAAATCACAAGGCGAGGTAATGTATCAGCTAAAGATAATTATATTCCATCTCTAGTTCCCCTAACAATCTCAATTGAAGGAAAGGTAATTATATTACATTACCTCACCAACCTAATGAAAATTGCTTAGTTTGGATGATAACTTATTTTTGAAATTTATTAATTACTACGTGTCATTTTTTTTTTTAATGTGACTTAATATTAAATTGGCAAGTCACGCTGTGTTTATTTGTAAGATCTATCACATTATGCCTTGCGATTAAGTAATTTTATCAGACAACAAATTAAGTACAATTAGGGTGCATTTGGTTAGCTATTTTCAATTTCCAATTTTCAATTTTACAAAATATCAAAAATTAGTTCGATCTAATATTTTCAAAAACAATGTTAAAATTATAACACAAAACTCAAAAAGCATTTTTATCATTTTGATTTTTTTCATTGAAAACTCCGAAAACACTCAAAATATGGGAAATACACGTTTAAATAACAATTACAAAATTAAAAACTCAACTCATTTTATTATAGTTTCTTAGCGAAAAAATATTGTATGATTTACCAACTTTAAAATGTATTTGTTAATATATTAACATAAAGTTATTCTATGTTATCGAATAATCAAATTTCTTGAAAATAAATGTAAAACATTTTCTCAAAAAATGTGTTTTCTAATTTTGAAAAACAATATTCTCTAAATAACAAACCAAACATGTTTTTTGCAATCTTAAAATAAACACTCAAAATAAATAAAAACTCGAAATTGAAAGACAAATCAATCCTTAGTGACTCGATTAGAACTATTTAAGCCTTAGTAACTCAATTAAAACTAATTTAAATTTAACCGTTGCGGGTGAAATTTGACCAAAAAAATAAAAATATCTTTTTGTTTTGCTCAAAAAATTAAAAAGGTCTTTCTATCCAACGATTAGTATCTCATATCTTCTACTATAAAAGCTCATACGTTTTGCCATTCGAAATAATGCAACTTAAGCCTGTAACATCTTTTTGTTGTAATTAAGCCCTCAAACTTTGGATTTCACCTTTTTTCTTTTCCAATTTTTTAGGAATAGGTCCATCATTGAAATAAATGAAAATTTACACAAATTAAGTAGAAGTCAACACTTTCACAATGTAAAAGCTTAGTAATATTGCCCGAATAAGTGCAGAAATGCACTTATCACAAATTTATATACTCAATTATAAACCTGCTCTCTATATACTCACTTCATACCCTCTCGAAGCCGCCCTGATATACTTAATGGCTCGTGTTTCTAGCACTTCCCACATTCCTTTATTCATACATCAACTGACTCGACTGTTGAAGTACGTGCAACCATCTCCCTCCATCTATGACTTATGGTTTGTCAAAATGTGTAGAACTAAGGCTTATGTTGACGCGAGAGATTTGGGATCTATTGGACATGTCGACCCTACAAAAAAGGAGGTCAACACATTTAATTGACAATTTTCATGTAAATAAGTTTTGGACAATCTCATTGCCTAGAATTTATTTTCTTTCTATGCTTGCATTCAAACACAACCTTTTTTTTTTTTTAATTTAATCTTTTCTGTCCCAAAACTCTGGTTTTTCTTCTCTGAGATTTCTTCATTTCGTTGAAAATTTGGGTTTAGGTAAACTCTTTTTCAAGTTATAGAAAAGTTACTGTAGTACACCATTTAGTGCGATGTGTTTTCGAGTGAGAATGTTGTCTCTGAACGACTGAACTTCATTTCTGAGTGCTGAATTTGGTCGATAACAAATCAAAAATTTATTGGTTAAATATGTAAGCCTGATGTATATATCTCCATTGTCGTGCTAGAGTACTGTCACTCTTATCATCCGCAAAGGTTTCAAGTCCAAAAGGGAGTTTTTGATTTAGGATTCAAGTTGTACTAATTAATGAATCCTTTTGTAACAATTTAAATGAAACAAGTATATATTGAAAATTGCTGCAGTTGATTCTGCTTTCCCTCTTCTCATGTAATTTGCCATTTCCGTTTCTTTCTGCAGACACTAGCATTTGTAGCATTTAAGGTGGAACGAAAACCAGACCCGATCTCTCTTAGAATCCTAAATATGCCAAGTTTTGAATGTGATGTTTCCGCGATAATCTCATTTCTTTCGATGGAGAGAGGGTCCGCCTTATCATCGTAAAAGTATATATCTTTTCCTTACTGACTCTAATAGCACATAGGATTTCACTCTATTGACATAAGATGCATAATTCATTGCTTAATTTGTTTATATGTCATAACGGTTCAATACTTTGTCTGGATCTTCAGTGCATTGCCTCTAATACTCGCATGGAGTTAGGGATATAAAGAGCCGGCTCGCGAGCCTAAAGTTTCAGCTCGGGCTAGGCCCGGTTAAAAAGGCCGAGCTTTTTTGCGGGCTCAAGCATGGCAGGCTCGTTTTCTACCCTCTTTTTTTTTTTTTTTTTTTTTTTTTTTTTTTTTTTTTTTTTTTAAATTGCTGCCAAGTCAGCCTCAAATTTTTTTTTTTTAAAAAAAAACTCGCGAGCTCAGGTGCCGGCTCGAGCAAAGCCCGTGTCCCCAAAATGGGGCTCAGCCCAAGCCTAAGCTCGCGTCTATCGAGCCCCGAGCCGAGTCACGGACGGCCTGAGCCGACGAGCCCGATTGCCATCCCTACATGGAGTAATATGAACTTCAAATGGAAAGGCTTTGCTTGCATCTCCTTTTTTTTTTTTATGGACCTCAATTCCATTGGTTAAGTTAAACTTACTAGCTTGAACTTCGAGGCAAGAATGTTTCCGTTCAGCTATGGATAGTAAATTTACTAATCCTGGACTCATACAAAAACATAAATTAGATGAAAGCAGATGAATTTCATCTAACCGTTCGGGATAATTTTAATGGTTGATGTGAAAAATAACATTATTAAAGAAGTACATGAAAAAAAATAAGTAGAAGAAAATTACAAGTCAGAAAGTTTGAGGCAAAGATCTAGATCCAACTACTTGTCAAATTAAACATGATATATAGTTATTTGGGCCATTATTTAATTTTACTAGCAAATAAGTTGTCGTTACTTCGCGTTAACAACAAAGAAGATATTATGAATAACAACAACTAGCTATTGATGTGGAGCCGAATAATTTTTGTATCTTCTCACCATGTAGGTGTGCGCTATCAAGAAATTTCCTGCTAAGAAATTAAAAAAATAAAATAAATTCAAATAACTAATACAAAAAGATTTTTACTTCACAACAAGGATGAGATGAGTTTTAACTTACATCATTGTACAATTGAGGCTCTCTTTACAATCGAAACAATCGAACACTATTGATGATTACAACAAACTCTTCGTTACCACAATCCAATTGTTCTTCAAAAATTTCCGAAGCTGACTTTTCTACATTTTCGTGACAACGATCTATCTCAATCTTTTGTAGTGTTAGAATATCCCTAAATTCAAAAGGAATCATCTCCAAAATTATGCAAGAGTGCAACACCAATCGTTCAAGTACAGGGAAATGTTCGGAAGAGGACTTCCATTGTTTAAGACGTAGGTGACGTAATCTAAGGAATTTGAGTTTTTGGAACTCATCATCATTGGTGACCCAATTTTCTCCTTCACAGGCTCCACTTTCTAATTTCAAAATCTCTAGGTTAGGCAATGTCCCAATTAATGACATATTTTCCCATGGTAAACCTATTTCAGAAAGAGTAAGCTTTTTGATATTCCCAGGAAAGTTAGACATTGAGTAATAACTGCTGATCCTACTTCCATGCATTGCGAGTGATTCAAGCTGAGAAAGAAAGTTGAGATTTGGAAAACACTTGCCTGAAAATCTGCATCTGCATTTAAGTGTACGAAGATTTGGTGAACATCTCAAGATTTCTTCATCTTTTGAATCTAATATAGAAACATAACGAAGAGTCTGCAGGCTATTTATTTGGGAGGTATCACATTTATCACTAAATGCTGCAGGGTAAAAAGAGTTTCCAACGTGTAGATGTCTCAACTTAGGAATATTGAGAATGTATGGTTGTATAGTACTATTCAAATTTTTCACACGAAGAAATTCTAGGTTCTGGAGTCTGCCTATTGATGACTCTAACTTTGAAATTTCCAGGTACCTCAACTCAGGCATAATCCTGATTCCCAGTTGAAAAATTCTATCATACGCTGAATCCAAGATCCTAATTTTGTCTGAATTATAAAGGATGGATAGTGCATCAGAGAGATGATGAAACTGATCCATACACAACCGATGATTATGCTTAGACATCAAGAATTGACTAAAGAATTAGAAGCATAAGAAAATAGAGGATCGCAATTAGTTAAACCACATCAACCAGCATCAGCACAACAGCAGCAGCAGCATTTACATAATTAGCACACATTATTAGTAACAGTAGGCTAAATTGGAAAATAAGAGTAAATCAAGAAGGAATTTGAAAGAGAGTAAGATAACTTACTGTTGAAGCAGAAATGTTTCGTCTTCTAGGGCCATTTTGCAGCACGTTTCCAGTATTAGATCGTGAATAATCAAAGATTTCACTCCATTGTCAGATCCTCTTTTGGAAACTTGCAACAGACTCCTGTTAATGAGTTCCATTATATACTCCTCTGCTACATCTTCTAGGCTCTTGTGCTCCTTTTTCTCTACAAGTCCTTCGGCTATCCACAGTAATAATATCTTCCGAATTGGAATTTCCTCGTCTTCCTGGAATGCACTGAGATAGAGGAAACATGGTTTCAAGTGATTTGGTAAATGCATGTAGCTAAGTTTCAATGTTGGAATGTAGTCGTCGGCTCTTTGGGAAATGAAAAAACTTAAACTTTTTGCCACTTTCTGCCATAGGCTTTCTTTCTTCTCCATGTTTGAAAGAACTCCAGATATCGTGATGATTGAAAGCGGGAGTCCATTGCAATTTGTTGCAATTTGCTTCCCAATACGTTGCAGTTCTTGAGGACAACGTTCTTTCTTGAACATATTCTGCTCTAACAAATTCCAACTTTCACCTGGTGACAAGGGAGGAAGTTCAATGATAACATGTGAAATTTCCAGTGCCACATGTTTTAGTCGGCTAGTGAACAATACTCTGCTTCCATTTCTGTCCTCTGGAAAAAACTTTTTCAAATCATCCCATGCTTCTTTATCCCATAGATCGTCAAAAACAATAAGATATCTTGTACCCTTTAAACTTTTGTAAACAGATTCGGCCAAGTCTTCATCTTCCAACTTTGAAGTGCTGTCTCTGCTAAGGTTACTTATGGAACTCAAAATTTCAATCAACAGCTTTCTCTTTTTATATGTTTGAGAAACAACACACCAAGAGAGCTTGTCAAAATGGTACCGAACATTGGAATGAAAGTATATATTCTTTGCTAAAGTAGTCTTGCCAAGTCCACCCATTCCAACGATGGAAATAATGTGGCGATAGTTTGGTCCTCCAAGGAGCTTGCTTGCAGTTTGTGTTGTCATGTCCTCCAAGCCCACAATCATCTCTTCTACCGTGGAAATGCTTTTATTTTGGGACAATGATACTTCACTCAGACTTTCTGCAACTTTTAGGCTTCCAATTCCACGATTCAGCTTCCATGAGACAGCAATACGGTAATCTTTGATCTTCACTTTCACAATTTCAATCCGTTCTAACAGAACAGAAATTGCCAGATCCATTTTGTTCAAGGTAACAGGATCTGCTGTGAAAAAGAAAGAATGCAAGAAAAGTCCTACTTCATTAATTACAACATCAACTTCTGCCAAGAAAATATTACTCTGTGCTTCGTTGCGCCGTATTGTATCAGCAAGAAAAGTTAGCAGAAATTTCAGTTCCTTTAGAAGAACTTTGACTTGATTACTCACAAGAACACTGGAATTTGCTTGGGAAATAAGCAGTTCTCCAATACTTTGAAAAAGAAAGTCGATAAAGCTTGCCCTAACCCTCAGTATGATTTCACGATTAAACAATTGTAGCAGGCCTTGAATTGTGAGGAACACTCTAATATGTGGCATGAAAGAGAGAATGGTTTCTGTAAAGTTTCTGTAATGTTCTGTTTCTCCGAATAAGAGGCAACGGAAGGCTGAATCATCAAGACGCTTCAACGGATCATGAAGATAATGGAGTCTGTCGTGGGATCGATGAAAAAATTTCAACGACTGAGTAGCCCATTTGAGAAAAGTTAAAAAGTGTGGCCCAAGCCACTGAAAGCTAACAACTTTTTCTCTTCCATGAAACTTTAAATCTTGCAGATGGAACAGGAGATCTGGACTTGTGAGTAGACGTGACAGATTTTTGTAACAGAGAGCTATTTCGTAATCGAATAGAATATGCACTTCATCAAAGTAACCGATTATGTTTGAGCGTTCCATCAAGTATTGTTGGATAGGACAGAGACCGGAGAGAGATTAATGAGTCAGAGAGATTGATGAGAACGAGTGTATTTAGAGAAACTGTATTCATGGACAACTCCTGCAAATCTAAAAAAAAGTTGAACCCCACCTTGAGGCCCTCACGATCCCGTCCTTAAAGTTTTGCGAGGAAGGTAAATCGCGAGATGTGTTCCCAATAGATCAGGGAACAAGAGCTGTCTGTATACTGCTCCTATAAGGAGTCCAATTCTATGTCTCAGGAATCGAACCCTCACACTGCGACTGCCAGCAAGGCGTGAACTCCTACATCTCTAGTTATAGGAAAGCTGGTTGAAGATAGAGAAGTTGGCATTTTTAGCCCATGTTTGGTATCCATTAAAATTTATATTTTAATCTAAGTAATAATTAATTTTAATAACATATTTTATGGATCTTACAAATTTTCAACCACATATTTCATTAACTTTTATCAAAATCTACTACAAATTTGGTTTTAATCCCTATCAAACAGGACTTAATATCATTATCACAAAATATGATATTAAACTATTTCATCAAAAACTATTTACCGATCTATTTCTCTCCTTTATTCAATTTTAAGCTTAAAATTATGCGCAAGTTTGCAAATTGCAATACAAAATAAATAAATAAATAATAAACATTAAAAATTAAAAAAATTTCAAACCAAAATAACCCTCACCATACCCATAGGTTAGAGTTGTGCAGTGCAGCCCCCGGGGCATAGCCTAGTGATGCAAAGGATAGAAGTGAGGTTATCTCACACCATGCAGGCAGCCGCAGTGTGGGAGTTCGATTCTTGAAACATAGAATTGGACTTCTTGTAGGCATAGTGTACAGGCAGCTCTTGTTCCTTGACCTGTTGGGGCACATCTCGTCATTTACCTCCCTCACAAAACTTTAGGGACGGGACGGTGAGAGCCCTCAAAGTTGGGGTTCAATTTTATTTTTTTTAGAGTTGTGCAGTGCAGTCGCGACCTTTTGACCATTGACTGAGCCGGCATGTGCACGGCATCTTTCGATTAAATGTATTTGATAATTTCGAGGAAGCACACATGCTCTTCTGGCTCTTCTGCTAATTAACTATTTAGGATAATAATATCCTTAACTTTGTTAATTAGGATTCTATCATGAGAAGTTAATTTATGGTACACCTTTTATTATTTCATTTCATAATCAATGGAAGACAGAATTTTTTTTATTAATCCACCTGATTATTAATATTGTTGATGGTATAATCAAGAAACATCGGTCAGGGTGTACAAATTAAAATTATTTTTGTTGGTGAGTAGAAGAAATTCAAGAGTTATTAAAGGAACAAGTACTAATATAAAAACCAAAGAGAACTACAAACTTAGGCTCTATTTGTGGCCCTTTAATTTCAAAAAATGGAGTATGAAATAGTAATTGATGTTGAAATTTATGGTTAAAAAAGAAGGATATATTTTTGATATATGTGTAATATTATTTTAATGGAGAATGTGTGGTTGAAAATGAATAATGTAAAAAAAAAATAATGTTGTCGAATGTAGAAGAATGGTTGATAAACAAGTGCTTAGTACTAATCAAATGGTGAAAACATAAGTCTTTGCCCACAATCAAGAAAATGGTGAGCTATAATACAAAAACATAGTTCAGTGTGCACAGTTTGGGGGTGTGTGGGGCGGGGGTGTTTAGCTTTTCAAGAAAGTGATGAGCTAAAATACACAAATATATGTGAGTGTGTACAATTTAAAAAAATGGGGGCATTTTGTTGGATTTTTTAGCCCAAATTAGGTTGAATTTTTTTCCCCTTTATTATCCATGCTTTTATTGAAAAAAATATTTTTTCTTTTATTCCATATTATTTTTTATCTTGTTTTCATCTTTACGATATTTTTAGGGTTTGACATACACCCATATAAATATTAGACTCTTTTCACAAATTTTGCATTATTGAAATATAGAATAATTATATAGACACATTTATTATATTTGTTTTCTTCATATTGGTCAATTGAATAAAATTCTCTCATCCTCTGCCAAGTAATTCTTTACTTTTTATTTTATTGTTTGTTTGCGATCATATACTCCATATTATGTCATATATATTATCTCGATTCATTTAATTTCCCAATAAGTGGTATCAGAGCTATTGGTTGAGATTTGTTCAAGATTGTTATTAATGACAGTCATGAAGTATGAAATTTCACTCTTGGATAACAATGCAAGATTGTCGCTATGACAAGGGAAGATGCGAGCTGTACTCCCGCATATGGATTTGGATGATACATTGTTGGGATTTGACAAAATATCCACAACTTTGACGATGGAGGAAAAATAATGGAATGATCGGAAGGTACTTTCACAAATCCATCTTCATCTCTATAACAATATTTTTCAGGACGTTTTGAAGGAGAAAACGACAGTTGCATTGTGGTTGAAGTTGGAGCAATTGTGCATGACTAAATTTCTAACAAAAAAAATTGCACATGAAGTAGAGGTTGTATTATTATCGCCTGGCGTAAGGTGGATCTTTGGAAGATCATCTGGTCGTGTTCAAAGAGATCGTCGCTAATTTAGAAACTTTAGAGGTAAAGTAAAATGAGAAAATTTGGCCTTAATCCTTTTGTGTTCGCTGCCTACTTTATTTACTTCGTTTAAAGACACGATCTTATATAGTCGTGATACTCTCACCATTAAAGATGTATATGACGCCTAATTTTCAAAAGAGAAGATGAAGCATTTGGTTAGATCGGAGGCCAGAGATGAAAATGCCTTGTGTTTATGGTGATTGGAGAAAGGGGTAAGTCGAGATCAAATTTTAGTAGTTAGGTTTGTTATTGTTGCAAGAAGAAATGATACATTAAGAGAATTGTGGCAAATTGTAGAACAAATGTAATTTGACTGCAAATCATGAGAAGCAATCAAATACTTGAGATGAGACAAACAAAGTTAAGAACTATTTGAGGGATGGAGATGTTTTGATGATTTCTGACCTGAAATCCAAACTTGACGAGTAGTGAATTTTGGATACAGCTTGTACGTTCCATATATGTTCCAATTGAGATTTGTTTGGAACATATGAAACAGTGACGCAAGATGTCGTTGTCATGGACAACAATGAATCTTGTTGAGTAGTTGGTATTAGTAGAATCATATTGAAGTTACATGTAAAACACTTGATCACATTACATATTTCTAACTTGAAGAAGAATCTCATTTCATTAAATACTCTTAATTTAAAACGGTACACGTTCTCTGGAGGAGTAGAGTTTTGAGGGTGGGTTCGAAAGGGTGTTCGTATCGTATTGGTAGGGAGGAAGAGATCACAGTTATACATCTTGTAAGATCAGGCAGAATTTGTGAAGTAGAATCCGCATAGATTTAGTACCGTCGTAGAGATTCAATTTGGTATTATACCTTTGAGATTTTGTTCGGGATCTATATCGAAAAATATTTCTCAGTCAATTTTGGAGGATATGGGTAATTCCGCTTTACCGCCATTATCTGCGGTACAAGACTGCTTTGGTATCTTTCACCTCTATTTTCTTTTTCGGGGAGAATTTTACATAGAGTACCAGAGTGGATTTAGGGATTCATTAGCTCATTGTTTAATACGAATCAGTAAAATGACAAAATCCATAAAATTTATCCAATGGGCTCTAGAAGGAATTCCAAGGGGCCTATTAAGAATTTAGAAGTCAGGCCCCTAAATGATCGCTCAGTCATAAAAGAGATAGGGGAATAGAGACAGTCAAGAGGCTTGCCTAGAAGCGACCACCCTTGAAAGAGTGCGTCCTTCAGCTCTAAATTTATTTGACATGATTGGTAGGGCTGGACATGGTCTGGTTCGGTTCGTTCGAACTGACCCGAAATTTTCGGGTATTTAGTAAGTGGAAACGTCGGGTCCAAATTTTATTACGGAACCGTTCGGGTTTAGTTCTATTCGGTTCGGTTCGGTTCCATTTAGTTCTATATTATAATTAAATTTTTTAATATATACAAAGTTACGTTAATTTAATTAATGATATGTTCAATATTAGCTCTTATAAAATAACATAGTTTAATTTTATGTGTTTCACGTCTCTCTTTACTGAATTCTTCATAAATTTGATTATTAAAATCACAGAAAGAGAAAGATAGCGAGTTCAAAATAATTAAGAGAGATGTTGTAGAGCTTTAATTCGATTAGAGATAGGCAATTTGAACCGTCAAAACCGAAAACCGCAGTTAACCGAACCGAATGGGGCGAAAAAAATCGAACCTATGGTGCAATGTGACGGATATGGTTTTGATTTTAATGAACCGGTTCGTAATGGTGCGGGTATGGTATTTACGTCGTCGAACCGATTACCCGCTAAAAAAAAAATATTGAATTGATAATGGGCTTTACACTAATTTTCTATCCAAATCAAAACAAAATCCCTCCCCTCCTCATTACATCTACCTGACTCATTCGGCCAATCTACTTACCATTAGCCCATAATAGCATTAGTATGACAATATATAAATGCAAACTCTACTCTCCACAACCACAAACTCACGCACGACTCCATTGCCTCTACGGTCCAAATCGACGTCGCCTCCGAAAATTTGTTACATTTGTTAGTCATTCTATTACTGCTGATCATGTAAAAACAGAGTTCGATATTTTTCTAGACGTGCCAATATTGCCAATGATGAATAGGAATCAACTTTGAATGCTGATCTATGCTAGTAAGACTTGTAGGAAAGAATGCATCAAGTCACTTCGATGCACAACAATTAAGAATGAAGGAAAAGTTTAGTGTTATTATATTTATAATATTGTTTGTTAAATTTGTATTTTACAATTGAAAATTAGGATAATATTTGCATTTACGTTTGGAATATTGTTTGATAATGTTTGCATTTTCGTTTGGAATATTGTGTTTTTGTTTTCATTGACTTTTTTCATAAATTGTTTTATATCAATTTGACGGATGAACCTATAAAAAATAATTTATTTTCGTGGTTATTAACCGAACCGAACCGTGCCGAACCGAACCGATTTACGTGGTTATGGTGCGGTTATGGTATGGTCAAAAATTTGGTGGTGCGGTTATGGTTTTGGCC